TGTAAGTTTCATGAGCTTATGGCTGTCAGGTTATCAGAAACCTCTTGGTTGTGGGCCATCTCAGCCAATGGCTGACACAGCCAGACGTGGTTTCTACACTATTCGCCGTGTGCGGTATCGAATACCTGTGCCAGCTCTGTGCACGTAGCCCGTCCTACGCTCAGGGACTCTCTCCCACCCTTTAAAACGGAATTCTTACTCTATGTAATGAATTCTTAACAAGTATAATAGTTTTTTTCCTTTGCCAGCCTTGCTCAGCTTTTTAAATAGCGCCAGGTTCTGACTTGGCACTAACCCCTGCCCTGTCTTGGCATCTTCATCCACCTTGCTCCTTTGTATGCCTGTGTGTATTTGCATATGTAAATAAGACTCCCTCTTTGTGCGTGATATACTGTCAGAAAATTCAAGATTCTGGTTCTAGTCTATTTAGTAGAGCTAATCTTGATGTTAGCCAGAAAGGTCCAGCAACCTTTTAGGAGACCAGCTGGGGAGCTGGTCGGCTCAATGACCAGCCTCAGAATGGTTTGGGTTCCATGTTCTCCGAAAGGGAGACTCAGTGGAGGATTTGGTATATGACAAGTCAATAGCGGTGCTCTTACCCCCAGAGTACGTACATACATATACACTCACACATGTACACACACATGAACACACAATCAGGTATACATGTACACACATGTGCACATGCATGTATGCATGTACGCATACATTCAAGTTGTGAGGGACCCTGGCAAGACTTCAGTCCATCAAACAGTTCCCAATTCCGTTGATTTATGGGGGAATGAATGATGCTGTCAGAAGGAATCTGGGCTATATCTCTAGAGGGAGTTTGAAGGAATTTTGGCTAGGAAATTGATGGAGTTGGGTGCCCAGGTGGTGTTTTCATTTCTTCTTCCTGCCGGTGGTTGTGACAGAAGAAGAAAAAGCAGTGGATAGGGAGGGGACAGCTGGCGATATAAATGGTGGGAAAGAGAAGGATTTGGTTTCCTGGAACCCGATCTGTTGTTCCAGAATGATGGGCAAGGAACAAAGTGTGCCTGCCTCCCCTGCTTGTGATAAAGAGTGTCGTCATGAGATCATGGCTTTAGAATTGAAAGGGATCTTCCAGACCAGCTCCTTTATTTTACAGGTGAAGAAACTGTGGTCCAGAAAAAGGATGAGACTTGTCTAAGGTCACACACAAGTTGTAAGTTATTGGTATATATGTTGTACTCCTCAACTTCTAGACTTCCTAGCTGGGTGACCCTGGATGAGTCACTTAACCCTGTTTGCCTCAGTTTCCTCATCTGTGAAATGAGAAGGAAGGAAATGGCAAACCACTCCAGTGTCTGTGCCAAGAAAACCCTAAATGGGGTCACAAAGTGTTGGACGCAACTGAAATGATTGAACAACAACAAAAAACTAGACAGCGAGCTCCATAAATGACCATATCTTGTTATTCTTTTTCTGTTTAGTCAGTTAAGGACCAAACCATGGGCCTTTGTAGATTCCCTAGCATCTAACACAGCAGCCTGGGATATGGTGCAAAGAACACTGCATATGGACGCAAAGTCCTGGGTTCAAATCCTGCCTTTGTGACTCACTTGCCATTTGGTTATGAGCTAGCCAGTTCAGCTCTTTAGGTTCCGGATTCCCTCTCTGAAAGAAGGGACTTGAGCCAGATAACAAGCCCCTTCAGCTTTATCCTATAAACCTGGGCTGCTCAGAGGTATATAATAGATGCATTGTAAGTATTTGTTAAAGTATACCAAGAAGCAAGATACCCAGCGTAATCGGGACTAAAGGAGAAACAAGCCCAAATAAAACTGGAAGTGTACATACCCCTTCCCACCCCTGCTTTTTTTTTAAGTAGCAAAGAACTGGATTCAAAACATGCCATAGATTGAGGAATGGCTAAATAAAGTGTGGTACGTAACTATGATGGAATATTACTGCGCCATGAGAGACAGACCCGTATGGGAAGACTTAGGGGAACCGGTACCAAGTGAGGTAAGCAGAACCAGGGAAACCAGTAAACAGCATTGTAAATGGAATGTACTTTACAATCCAGCGATGATGGACTTTTTGTTCTTCCTGGCATATGACACTTCCATCTCCCGACTCCAGGCCTTTACACCAGCTGTACCCCACGCCCGGAATGCCCTCTCTCTTTATTTTTGCTTCCTGTCTTCCCTAACCCTTCTTAATCCCAGTACCTGCTCTCCGTTAATAATTTCCTATTTCTCCTGTACAGAGCTTGCTTTGTATGTATTTGTTTGCATGTTCTCTCCCCCATTAGATTGTAGACTCTTTGAGGGCAGGGTCTGTCTTTTGTCTTTTGTATTCCCAGTGCACAGGTGATGAGGTGGGACACTATGGATGTGAAATGCTAAATACAATTTTTTTTTGGTCAGTCAACAAACATTGAGCACATTCTCTGTGTCAGGCACCGTGCTAAGTCCTGGGGAATCATCACACGCAGCATTGCGCTTGGTTCATGTGTTAGTTGGTTTTGTTGAGATTTTTCCCTTTTTCTTTTTTGTTATAAGAGATGGCTCTTGAGAAGGAATATATTAGTAAAAAGATAGTAATACTGATTTCAAAAAAAAAACCCAGGAAGTATGAAAGTAGAGGTCAGGCAGGGATGTTGTAGAAGAAATCCCAGAAGCTGTGGAAAGCTGGAAAGAATGACCTCTTGCTTCCTTTCAGTTCCAAGATGGTGATTTTGTGTGCGAGGCATCGGGGATTGGGTGCCTACACCCAGCTCCAGCCAGGCTGGCAGTCACCCAGAGGTGCAGAGGAGAAGCCACGCTCAGACCCCGTGCTCTGGTTTATATTCAGCTAGGACAGCTGTCTGTGGGCGTGGCCGGCCACAATCTCACAGCTGGTTGCATAGGAAGCAGTTAGTTAGTTGGGAGATGGGAGTGAAACCGGTTACGCGGGCTTGTTCACCACCAAGGGTAAGGGTGAGTTGGCAAACTCAGAAGTGTTTGCAAAATTAAACAGACAAAGAAACAAAAAACATTCCTTCCTCCAGTGAAGGACCAAACACTGGGTTTTGGACTTAATTTGCAGCCTAGTGGAGCATCCTGTTAGGAGACCCAGTGAAGAAATACGTGACCTAGACAGTGGAAGAAAAGAATGACTAAGAGAAGTTTGAGGGTTTCCTTTCCCTTATTTCTGGAGAGTTCCAGGAAGCTTCTATCTGTCCAGGCTGTGCTTCCTAGAGATGAGGCATTACCAATTAGGATCATGTGAGAAAGATTCTTCCAACCCAGGAATTCTCCATTCATTGAGGACGTGACATTTGACTCCTGGAGTCAGCAGTATGACCTAGCCATGAAAATTCCTAGATGAGATTGTTGGCAAGTGATCTGCTTGATTTTAGGAGAATAAGAATTCTAGCGGATAATAAGATAATCACCATTGCCTGTTGCTACTAACAAAATCTTGGCCATGTGTTACTCTTGTGATATATACTAGAGAGACTTCATCTATATCCTCCACCTGACTGGGTGGTTTGTAGTATGAATCCCAAACTCTATCCCAGAGGAAAACTACCCTTGAGCTGAGTGGTTTTTTTAATGGGGTCTCTGACAGGGGGAATGTGGACTTGAATGTGAGGCTGTTCCTTTGCCACAGGTCAAAGGAAAGGCCTAGCAAGGGGATGTTGAGTTGATTTCAGCTGTGATTCTGAGAGGGTGGTGGTAGTAGCAGTGGTGGCAGTGGTAGTAGTAGTAGTAGTAGTAGTAGTAGTAGTAGTGGTGGTGGTGGTGGTGGTGGTACTAGTAGTGGTGGTGGTAGGAGTAAGAGAAGGAATAGTGGTAGTAGTAGTAGTGGTGGTGGTGGTAGTAGTAGTAGTAGTAGTAATAACTCAAGTCAGTGACCCCTGGTCACTTACTAAAAATCTTTCCTTCTGTCCAATCCAAATCTCTTTTTCTCTCAAACTTATTTCAACCTATTGGGTAATGGTGTTGGAAAGTAGGCAGGTGACTTAAAATTTTTTTTTATTGACATCTTTTGTTTTTATATTGTCCTCATTTCTGATTGTGTCTCTTCTGGCTGCCTCACCCAGCAAGCCAGCCCTTGTAACCAAAAAAAACACAAACCAAAAAAAAAAAAAACAAACCTAAAAAACTAATTAATTGGAAAAAATTATAAATCTAAATTTTGAAAAAGAATGGTATATTAGCTTGAAAGAAAATAACTTGGGTAAGGAAGAAGCAGGGTGTTAGTACCCATGAGCTGCTCCAAGTCGTCGCGTGCTTTCCCAGCAGCAAAGCAGAATGCAACAACCGCAAAAATAAGAGAGAAAGAGAAGGGAAAAGACAGAAAGCAGTTTGTCAGTCGGACTGCATATGCAGTGTTCCACACCCGCAGACCCCCGCCTCTTCAGTGAAGGGGGAGGCATAGTTCCTTGTCTCTTCTTCAGGAGCAAGGTTGATCCTTCTGCCCTTGGTGACCCTTCAGAGAGCATGTGGAGTTTTTCTCCCCGTGATTCTCATCTCCCCCACCCCCTCCAGTTTTTTTTTTTAAAGTCATGATAGAACCTGGATGATGTGGGACCTGAGTTCAAATCCCAGCTCTTCCCCTTAGACCTTTGTATCTGTCCAAGGGCTCAGTTCCCTCATTTGAACACTGAGGGGTTTGGACTAGCTGTTCTCACAAATCCCTTCTATCTCTAAATTTGTTTAGAAGCTACTCGGTGGAGCAGTGTTGGACCTCTCTGGAGGACCTGAGTTCAAATCCTCCCTCAGACAGTGATCAGCCGTGTGACCCTTGGCAAGTCACTTAACAGCATTTAGCCTCAGTTTCCTCATCTGTAAAATGGGAGCAATCACAGCACCTACCGCCACGGGAGGCCCTTTGCAGACCTCAGAGTGCTACGTAAAGGCCGGCCATGATTCTGGGCCCCTTTAATGTTCCAGGCTTTCCCGACTCACCCTTCCCTTGGCCTGCTCAGCAGAGAGGCAAATGAGGTCCCACTTGGTTAATTTTCTGCTTTCTGGGCTTCCCCACAGGCCAAACTGGTGCGGTACATCAGCAAACAGCGCCAGTGCAAGCTGAGCGTGGCCCCCGCCGAGCGGACGGTGGAGCTCAACAGTTACCCGCGCTTCAGCGACTGGCTGTACACCCTGAACGTCAGGACCGAGGTGGTGCAGGTGAGTGCTCCGGCGGGAGACGCGACCGGCGGGGCGGGGAAAGGGCCGGCGTGGCTGTGCTGGCATTCGGGGTCTGGGGTGTAATTACGCCCATTTTACAGAAGAGGGTACTGAGTCTCAGAGACATAAAGCGACTTACACTAGTGCAAGCATTAGAGGTTGGATTTGATCCAGTTTGTCCTAATGTTCAGTCTAGTCTCCCTTCCGTGACCTCGCAGTGCCTCTTAGAGAACTGAGAGGTGGAAGGAGCCTGCGATATTATCTAGCGGTTTCACATCAATCAGTCAACAACTTTTTTTTTAAATTACTTAATTTATCTTTAGTTTTCAACATTCACTTTCGTAAGATTTCTTTCTTTCTTTCTTTCTTTCTTTCTTTCTTTCTTTCTTTCTCTCTCTCTCTCTCTCTCTCTCTCTCTCTCTCTCTCTGCAATTGGGGTTAAGTGACTTGTCCAGGGTCACACAGCCAGTAAGTGCCAAGTGTTTGGTCTGAGGTCAGATTTGAACTCAGGTCCTCCTGACTTCAGGGCCGGTGCTCTATCCACTGTGCCACCTAGCTGCCCCTCCATAAGCTTTTGAATTTCAAATTTTCTCCTCCTCCCTCCCCGCCTCTCTCCCCAGGATGGTGTGCCATCTGATATAGGCTCTACGTATACATTCCTATTAAACATATTTTCACATTAGTCATTCAACAAATTTTTTTTAAGGACTTACTGTGTGCCAGATCCTCTGCTGAGTGCCGGAGTTACAAAGAAAGGCCAAAAAACAACACAACAAGAAAACTGGTCCCTGCCCCCTAGGAACTCCATTCCAGAGGGTTTGTCCAACCCTCTCACTTTACAGAAGAGACAGGACCCAGACAAGTTAAGTGCCTGGCCATACATCACACAGTGATGGGTGCCAAAGCCAGGAATCTGGTGTCCAGTGCAGCACCGTTGGCCCAGCGCCAGGCGAGTGGTGCAGCTGGGGTTGGAAATGAGGCCTCGTTAGTGGGAGGCAATGGAGAGATGAGTGAGAGATGGACCAGATGGGTGTCGTTGGGATTCTGGCCCTGGCACTTTCTAGAGGATCACAGGACCATCTGCTCCCCCTTAGCGTGTGTCTGGTCCATCTTCTCTTTTTTTGAGGGGGAGTTAGGCAATGGGGTTAAGTGACTCGCCCAGGGTCACACACCTAGTAAGTGTTATGTGTCTGAGGCCAGATTTGAACTCAGGTCCTCCTGAATCCAAGGCCGGCGCTCTATCCGCTGTGCCCCCTAGCTGCCCCTGGTCATCTTCTCTTGTCTTTGCAGAAGGGGTGTTCTGTGGACTGTGAGTGGTGGTAGCCCTGGTCTAACCCTATCTGTCTGGATACGACATTCCACTCTCCTGCATGCTTCAGTTTACTCATCTGTAGCTTAAGGGAGTGGGACCTCAGTTCAGATCCTAGTTCCTCTTGGTCCTTATTTGTGCCATCCATGCTCCCTCTGTCAAATGATAGAGTATTATATGATCTCTACAGCCCTCCGTGTTTGTTAGTCATTTTTCAGTCATGTCTGACTCTCCATGACCCCATCTGGGGCTTCCTTGGCAGAGTTTTCTTGGAATGGTTTGCTATTTTCTTCGCCAGCTCGTATGACATATGAGGAAACTGAGGCAAACAGGGTTCAGTGACTTACCAAGGGTCACACAGTTAGTGAATGTCTCAGGCTGAATTTGAACTCGGGTCTTCCTGACTCCAGGCCTGGCGGTTTACCCATTGCACCATCTAAATGCCCCTGAATCCTGCAGATTTAGTGGATTTTTCTCTTACCCCACCAGCCTATTTGACATCTGAACTTCTGCAGGAATCTGCCACTGTCTGGATCTTTTGTCATTGAGTGGCCTGAGATACCAGCATTAGGGACCGGGGTGGGGGTGGGGGTGGTGGGGAGTAGAGTAAGAGACCCAGGGTCCTATCTGTGTGAGCTTGGGGAAATCACTTAACCTATTTGGGCCTCAGTTTCCTTACCTGTAAAATGAGGGAAGTGGATGAGATGGCCTCATAATTGGACTGGGGAGAATGGGATAAATACTGCATGGAATATCCTTCCATGGCCCTCCATTGGCCTTCACCAGTCATAGTAATAACAGCTAACATTTGCATAGTGCTTTCAGGTTTACAAAGGGCTTTTTATATGTTATGAGATCATAGGTTTATTTGGAGCTGGAAGAGACCATCTCCTCTAATCCATCTCTGAGGGCTGAGTGACTTGTCCGAGATTGCACAACTAGTCGGCGTCTAAGGCAGGATTTGAATTCAGGTCTTCGTCATCCCAAGTCCAGTACCCTATCCGCTGTCCCATCCTCCTGCCTCCTTCTTGAATGTGTCCTTAAGGCACGGAAGTGACCTTGGCTTCTCAGAGGATTTGCCAGTGGTCTGCCAGTCCTGGCTGGTTCCCAAAGCTGGAACGACTTCGAATGCAGGTCCATGATGGACCGGGTGTCTGTTGTCTGGGTATCAGCCTGGCTAGGTCTGGAGAAGCCTAATGAATTAAGTAAATTAAGTGGAGTGGAAGTAAATTAAGGAGAGAGCTAAGCAACCTTGGGGCATGCTTATATGTATGGGAGAGGAGGCATCAGGAACAGAGGAGGGGCTGGACCCTGCATGGACTCTCTGCACGGAACCCAAGGGAGGAAAAAATTCAAAGAAAGGTAGGGTGGCCTGCCATGTCACGTGCTGCTGAGAGGGACAAAGGAAATGAGGACTGAGGCAAGTCTATTGGTTTTGGGGGTTAGGAGGTGATGAGCTTGGGGAAAATAGAGCGGGCAGTGGGGCAGCAGCCAGTTGGAAAGGAACTCTGAGGTTCCCGGCTGCAAAGAAAGTGGCATCGGCAAACAGACTGTTTTTCCAAGAAATTTATCAGTAAAGAGGGAAGAGGAGTGTTAAAGGAAGCCCTTTTTAGAATTATGGGAGACCTAAATATGTTTGTGAGAGGGGCAGTGTGGGGTCTGGAGACCTGGATTTTGAGTACCCGTTTGTGTGTTTACTCACTCTGTGGCCATGGGAAGGTCCCTTAATCCCCAGATGCTCAGTTTTCTCATCCATGAAATGGGGGTGATGTGTATATACACTGCCTACCTTGTGGGGTCATCATGAGGAAAGTGTTCCGGTAAACTTCATAGTGCTGCCGTAAATGTGTGTTCTTATTATTAAGGCATCAAACATGTGATTTGTAGGCCGTTACAGTCCGCCTGACCTCACGGTGTGGTTTGCCTGAAGGTTTTTTGCAATAATAATAATTTGAAAAAAAAACTAATTAGCACACCTGAACCAGTTGGCCAGTGGGACCTAACCACCTGCTGGCCCATTCCATCGTCTAATTGACTGCTGCCAGGTGTGCTGTGAGCAGGAGAGGATTAATTGTTAATTAGGACGGTAAAATATTCATGTAGCCTGCACAAGTGGGGTTCTGATCCGGATCCCGTTATTGGGGGTGGAGGGGTGTGAGGAATCAGACACTCTTGGCCTTGGGGAAGAAGTAGCTAGACTAGAGAGAAAAAGAACGAAGCTAAACGGGGTGACGGTGATTGGTAGAGCTCGGTCTAGTAAGAGCAGCAAAGTCAGTTGGGTGACCAATGTCATATGAAATTGAATGCATGATGTAGAAAGAGCACTGGACTGTCCATTAGGGGATGACGATGATGACCATAAGTGGCATTTTTATAGCACTTTGAGATTTGTAGAGCATTTTATAAATATCATCTCATTTTATCCTCATTACCCTGGGAGGGAGGTGCCATTATTATTTCTATTTTATAGAGGAGGAAAGGGAGCCAGACAGAAGTTAAGTGACTTACCCAGGGTCCTACAACTAGGAAGTGTCCGAGATGGGATTTCAACTCGTCTTCCTGACTCTAGGCTCAGTGCTCAGAGATCTGCGTTCATGTCCCAGTTCTGCCGTGAACTAACTTGACTTTAGTCAAGTGCCTTCAACTTGCTGGACTTAGTTACTGCTCATCTCACTTCTCCCTTTGTTGGCTAAACACCTTGGGAAGGCCACCTATAATCGATGCCTCTACTCTCTCTCTCTCTCTCTCTGCCAGACAAAGGTTAAGTGACTTACCCAGGGTCATATCTGGTAAGTATCTGAGGCCGGATTTGACCTCCTGACTCCAGGCTGCTGCTCTATCCACTGAGCCACCTATATTATTGATTCCCCTTTTCTGGATATTCTCTTTTCTCGAGGTTTTCATGAACTGTCCTGCTTCTCCTCCTGTTTGTCTGACCCTTTTTATCTCCTTTGCCGATTCTCAGCCATGTCATGCCTGTTGGTGGTGGGTGTCCCCCATGGCTCGTTCCTGGGTTCTCCTCTCTTCTTCCTCTATACCATTTTCAGGTGGTGATCTCATCAGCTCCCATGGTTTCAACCATCATCTCTATGCAGATGACTCTCAGGTCTCTTTGTCTACCCCTAACCTCTCTCCTGACCTCCAGTTTCAAATCTCCAGCTGCCATCTTTTTTTTTCTTTTTGGTGAGGCAATTGGGGTTAAGTGACTTGCCCAGGGTCACACAGCTTATTGAGTGTCTGAGGCTGGATTTGAACTCAGGTCCTCCTGACTCCAAGGCTGGAGCTGTATCCACTGCACCACCCAGCTGCCCCTGGATGCTTGGATTATTGAAAGAGCCATCTAGTGGATCTTTCTCTCCCCTCTCTGGCCTGTCTTTCACTTGCTGGTCAAATTGATCTTCCTAAAGCTCAGGTCCTGTTCCATAAACTCCAGTGGCTTTCCTATTACTTCCAGAATCAAATATAAAATCTTCTCTTTGTCTCTTAAAACCCTCCATGACCTGGCCCCTTCTTACCTTTTCAGTCTTAGACCTTCCTCCCCTCCACATACTCCGAGATCCAGTGACACTGACCTCCTTTGCTTTTCCTGGTAGATGACGCACCATCCCCTGACTCTTGGAATTTCTACCAGCTGTTCCCCATTCTTGGAACTCTCTTTCTCCTCATCTCTGCCTCCTGGCTTTTCTGGCTT